TGCTTATGTGGTGCTGAGGAATCGAACCCAGGGCCTCATGCATGCAAGGCAAGCACTCTACCGCTGAACCATGTTCCAAGCCCTTATTGTAGTCTTATGAGGCAGTAAGGAAAAGTGGGTATTTCTCTTTTTCCTTTGTGCGCTAGTACTGGGTCTTGCTTGAACTCAGAGCCTCACGCCCTCCCTTAGTGTTGTTTGCTGAAAGCTGGCACTCTACCACTTTACTGAGCCACAGTTCCTCTTCTGCTTTTTGTGGTTAATTGTCAATATAAGTATCTTGGATTCAAAGACAGCTCAGGCTGGCTTTGAACCAGGATCCTCAGATCTCAGCCTCCCGAGTACCTAAGATTACAGGTAGAAAGCCAGATGCCTGTGGCTCATGCCTATAACCTAGCTACTCAGGAGTCTGAGATGTGAGGATCCTAGTTCAAACCAGCCCAGGTAGGAAAATCCTGAGACTCTTATCTCCAATTAAGCACCAAAAAGGATAGAAGTGGCCCAGGTGGTAGGGTGCTATTGTTGAGCAAAAAGCTCGGAGACAGCGCATAGGCCCTCCCTGCATTCAAATCCCAAAACCAGCACCAGAAACAAAAATAAAGAAAAGATTACAGGTGTGAGGCACTGGCACCCAGCTGAAAATGAGTGTTTTAAAGATGAGGCACTATGGGATTGTTGAATTGGTAAAAGGTCATTACAGGCATGAGCCACCGGGCCCAGCTTGACTTACCAGTCTCTCCCTTTCCTTCCTCTGTAGGTGGCATTGCCAGGACTTACACAGATCAGTGTGTGCAGATTCTAACAGAGTTGCTGGGGCTTCGCCAAGAGCATGTTACCACGGGTAATGGCCACCTTTCTAGGACTTTTTTTTTTTTAATGCAAAGTGTCTGCTTTATAGTAGTTGCTCCAGAAATCTTTTTGGGGGACTGGTGATGATATTTCACACCTGTAATCTCCACTATTCAAGAGGCAGAGGTGAGAAGATTATAGTCGTCTAAGGCTAGTTGGGCAGAGTTAACACAAGACCCTACTTGAAAAACAAACGAAAAGCAAAAAGAACTGGGGCAGCCTGGTACCAGTAGCTCATGCCCAGAATCCTAGCTACTTGGGAGGCTGAGATCAGAGGATCCTGGTTCAAGGACAGTCCAGGCAAGAAATTTCATGATAGCTGAGTATAGTGCTATATGTGTGTCTGTCATCTTAGCTGTAGGAGCAGGCAAAAAAAAAAAAAAAAGGATGGTGGATTTCTGTGTGTTCCTGGGTAGGAAACAAGACCTAATCTTTCTCTCTCTCTTTCTCTCTCTCTCCCTTGCTCTCTTCCCCTTCTGCCCCCCCTCTCATCCTGGAGCTTGAACTCAGGGCCTGGACACTCTTCCTCAGCTCAAGGCTAGTGCTCTACCACTTGAGCCACAGTGCCACTCCAGTTTTCTGGTGGTAAACTAGAGATAAGAGTCTCACAGACTTTCCTGCCTGGGCTGGCTTTGAACCATGATCCTCAGATCTCAGCCTCCTGAGTAGCTAGGATTACAGGCATGAGCCACCTGTGCCCAGCTGACATAACTTTTAAAAACAATATTTATTGTTATTGGAAAGGTGCAATCCCGAGTTCAGATCCCAGTACTGCAAGACAGGTTTTCTTTGAATGAGTAATCTAAATCTGCACTATCACCTGCTGCTCTCAGAGATGCACAGGACCGTCGGTGTGACAAGGTCTGTACCACACATAACAGATACACACAGGATCTTCAGTGTGACAGGGTCTGTACCACAGATAACAGAGGTACTAGGAAGGCCTTGCTTGTAATCTCCCCCTGATTTTTTCCTGTACTGGCCCTGAACTCTTGCTTGGCCTTTTCTGCTCATGGCTGTTTCTCAGTCAGCCACAACTCCAGTCCACCTTTTTTTCTGATAATCTTATAAACGTTCTTGCCCCAGTTGGCTCTGAACCACGATTCTCAGATCTTAGCCATTGACACTTAACTTGGCTTAATTTCTCATCTCTTTTTCTTTATTTCTGTGAGCTCTTGTTTTCAAGATTGGGACTATGGTGAGGCAGCAAGGTTATAGCAGTGCAGAATTTAGAGAGGCCTCTCCTCAGATTCCTGCAAGAGCCAGCCTCTGCCTTCATAAACTATTCAATTCTGGCAACTTGCTAGCCTCCCCACAGCCCTAAGGTCCAATTATACTGTCTTCAGAATATTGTTTGATCGGGCTGGGAAGGTGGCTCAGTGGTAGAGCGCTTGCCTTGCATGCTCGAGGCCCTGGGTTCGATTCCTCAGCACCACATAAGCAAAAAAAGAAAAAAGTCGGAAGTGGCGCTCTGGCTCTAATGGTAGAGTGCTAGCCTTGAGCTGAAGAGTACAAGGACAGTGCCCAAGCCCAGAGTTCAAGCCCCACGACCGACAAAAAAAAAAAAAAGAATATTGTTTGATCATATTATGAGCTCACATTTGCATAAAACATTTATATTATATTTATATTTGTGATACACATTTTACTGTATCTACATATAGTTATTAACATTTACAGATCACATTTTTACATGAATATGTTACATTTTATATATGTCTGTATTGTCTGTGCTAGTGCTGAGGCTTGAATTCAGGGCCTGGGCATTCTCCTTTAGCTTTTTTGCTCAAGGCTACCAGTCTGGCTTTTTGCTGGTTAGTTGAAGATAAGAGTCTCAGGGACTTTCTTGCTCAGGCTGGCTTCAAATTTGATTTCTCAGATCGCAGCTTCATGAGCAGCTAGGTGCACAGGTGGGAGCCACCAGCTCCTGGTTACATTATATATTACAGAGTTCCTTTCTATATATTAGCCATTTATCTTCATGTCCATCTGACAAGAATAACAGTCAT